TTTTAAGTGTATGAAGTGAGTTGATCTCATTTGCTGCTCACAAAGAGGGTTCATGTCTTCATTATAGTTTCCTAACCAGAGTAGATTTAAAGGAAATAGAGAGGGTGGTTTGGCATTTTCTGAGCTGGAAATTTAAAAAGAAAATAATAAAAATCATTGAAATCTTTATGTTAATGAGACCATATAAACATAAATTAAATTCTAATTCAAGGATTAAAAAAAGAAGAAGTTCAATCTATATTTTTTTGAGCTCATGTAAATACATCTTTAAAATATCAGTGTAATGCTAGTGCAGCACGAGGAAGAGAATAAACTTGTAGAGCAAAGGTATGAACTAATTGAGAAAATGGATCCATTGCTTACCTTGATTTGTCTTTATTTGTCTCATTTTCTCTCAAGGGGATCCCCAGGCCACTGCTGTAGGAGGAGTGACAAAAGCACTGATGAACTGTCCTCTGGGGAGAGTTTCACACAGAGCAGCCAATACAAACCTGATGGTTTCCCCCTGTCAAACAGCAGACATTGGAAGGATAAAATATCCAGTAATAGCCCTCACCAATATTGCTGTACATTAGCTTCTACAAAGAAGATAACTGGGGAATACTTTTTCCTACTACTACTGATGTTGGGAAATATAAGCAAATACGGGAATTGGAAACAAAAACATTAGCAGAAATACAGTAGTTAAAGTAAATCTAAACTCATTCTTACACTGCTCATTTTATCAGTCACATGTCAAACTACTTTACAAACAAGGTCACTGTGACAATTTTCTTGCATGACTCTGTTGGCACATGCACAGACCTGTAACCATAGTCAAGCTTTAAAAATTTCTCTTCTGTGAAATAAATGCCTCCATCAATATTTGCCCAGAATTTCTGGCCACTCAAATCTTATCCCTATTTTTTGGTTCATATACCACGTCCCCAAAACCTTTACTCCTTCTGTATTCAGCATCTACAACTATTTTTACATATCTTTAAATTATAAAAATTGAATATTTATTTCATAAATTGAAAAAAGAAATCTTGCATGCTACTCAGGCATTTGTTGTTAGTTGTTTGTTTTTGTGGTTATGTTTTTTTTTTTTTTCATGGACCAGATACACTTTGCCATCAAAGCAATATTTATAGATAATAAAATAATTCTAATGATTATTTATCTGGATAGTCCTCTATATTGTTTAAACCCGTGTTTGTCAATATGCTTATACGTTAATAATATCTTAGGAAAGAAAAAAAGAAAACAACTCAACATTAAAATTACCACAGGGGTTGAGGATTTTGCCTGGAAAAAAAATTAGTCTTTAATCAAAAAAAGAACAGTTACAAAAGGATTAATTTTGGACCAGAACATACCATGAGTTAGAAATTTTTCTGTCCCAGCTGAGAGTAGTAATTGGAAAATCACAGTTTACACAAAAAAAATAATTATTTTCTTATGATCTGCCTTTCTTTCATAAAGCTTTGCATCTCCATCACTCAATTACAATCTGGGAGATTAGGGGACTCAATATATAGTAGATTAAAGGTCACCTATTATTACAGGCAAGATTTAATTGCAATATTGACATAAATTCCTTACTAACCATAGGCTTTAAGCTGCTTGTACATACTCAGCATACTAAAAAGGGATGGAATATTCATGAGCTGCACTATGGGAAAATGTCTAGCAGGAACCTAAAACCAGAGCAAGCCTCCTTTTTTAAAAGAGGAAAATTAGGAAATGTTGGTGGTTGAAAAATTGTAGATTAAATCTTCTTCCATTACAGAGAGTAAAAGTTAGCTTGATTGCACTGCTGTAAGAACTTCCTGGGGGAAATTAAACTTGATAATCTCAAGGTGTTTCCCAGAGGACACCATGCATTTGGTAATGTTCATTATAGTCTGCAGAATACCAGATAGAATTTAAAGTGAAGACTCCTAAGGTTTAATCAATATAGACATTCTAAATTGTTCACAGTATCAAGTCCTGATTATGAAACAAAGATGCAATGACAAGGGAAGCCACAGTACTTTAGGTGGGTTTTTTTTCCTGCATTAACTGGCTGGTTCACAGCAAAGGTGAATAGTGATGGCCAAATCTCCAAAACAATTTTTGTAGCAGCATCACTGACTGCTTCATTGAGCTTCTGGGACTTTCAGAGCTCCACCTGGTTTCAGTGAATAATTCTTAAAACCAGGTAGCAAATACTTTGGAGATTACTTGTTACAAGATTTAAAACCTGTATGTTACTGTTTTAAACCATTCAGAGTTTAACTAATACAAAACAGATTTTAAATGCTTCCTTTAGAAGATAATGGAGAGTATAAAGATTTCAACTGAAAAAAAATAAAATAGCTGTCTGCTCTTTGCCTAAGTTTTAAAGCAAGAAATAAAAGAATATACCGCCTGAACTGATATTGGTGTTTGTTACCAACTGGTGATATATTCATAGGACAACGTGCAAAGGACTGAAATGGCACATTAGCAGTTCAAAGCACAAAGAAAATGAATCTTCAATTTTGATGAAATGAGTTTGCAGCATCTGTGGCATCTTTAGATAAGAGAAGTTGCCAAATTGCCAATTGCATAAATAATCCTGTGTAGCAGGTTTTGGAGCTGGTAAGGAAAAGCTGCCCCAGAACAAATGATTTCAGCTGAAGCCAAAGAGGATACTGACCCTCTCAGATCTTCAGTGGCTTGGACAAAGATCAAGGGGGTGCTTAAGAATAAGAGAAGGACCTGGAATTCCAAACAAAATGTGGCTGGAAACACTTTTTGAATGAGCCAGAACTGGATTTATGGCTCTTCTGCATCTGGTGCTGGTAGATGGCACCTATTCAGCATAAAAGGGAAATGATGCCCTCTGATTTTATATGGGTCCATATGTCTTCCCATTCCTTTGACAAGGGATAGTCAAGCTTGAAGATTCAAACAACTCTATCAGTAAGGCTTTTGAGATGGATATAAATTAAATAAAAATTTTGAAGAGTTTTTTTGGTAGAAAGAAATGTGTTCCAGAGCCACTGACTCTTTGAGGTAACTGGGACCTGATGGCGACCAGGCTCTGCAGGGTTCATTCTATTCCAAAAAATAATTTGTATTCTTCTGTCGTGCATGTGCCCTCCATGGTTCTGGTCTTTCCCTGCCTCCTTAAGGAGGAGCTGGAAGGTGAACTGTTTCTTGGTTTTGAGATCATGAGGACAATCTCTGTCATCTGATGTGCTGGAAATAAAATGGGTCCCTCCCTTTTGTGTTTGGATACTTTTCCTGGGTGGTTAAAGGTAATTTGATAAATTCCGTTTTAGATACTATATTAGTCCTGTTTTCTGAAGGAGTAATGTAGTAACTTTATTTTCATTTTATTCCTAGGTAAAATTTGAAAAGACTTAAAAGAAAATGCATATTAAAATGATATTATATTTGGATGAAGCTGATGTTAATAATTTCTCAGACCTATTCCTTGCTTGTCCTTTTCCTGTGACTTTGGATCATAAAATTATGATTTTGATAATTAAAAAGTCTGAGGTACTTCAGAAAAGAAAGTATAAAATGTTCCGCTGAATCTTTCCCAGACAGTACGGTTGAAACTGTGAGTCATTTTGTTCAAGAGAGAATAAATTCTGCTGAGCTAAACTCAAGAATAAGAAAATTAGTAACTGAACTTCAAGATCAGAAGGTAACACTAGTGCTTGAACAGAGAAATTGTTTGCTACATCAGTGAAAAGATGACATTTGGCAATTGGACTTCTTGGTCGGCACTTCTCATCTTTATTTGCCACTGAGAGAAGATAGATCTTACATTTACGTGATGTGCACATAAAAATTAATGCAACTAAATTCTATATGAAAGTATTAAGGCTTTAGTAAGCAAAAAAACCAGCCATCTTTACCCAAATTATAGTTAAAAAGACAAAGGAAAAAATTCAGAATTAATCTCAGCCTGGTCCTTACCTCATTTTCCATGCACTGATTCTGCAGTTTATTTGTAATTGTGACCTGATCTGACATCTCAGTGCAATTTACTGTTAAACCGATTAAAAATTATGTTGTAGCCTTATTTCTCTGCTATTTTTCTGCTTCCATTGCATACAGAATATTATCTAACCATACCCTCTCAGCACATTATCTTGTTTCTTACATAGGTGTGTGCAAACTGAGATTATAAACAATGACAGGTTATTTAAAGTATGAATGCTGTGAATTCTAAGCATCCTTTATGATGAATAGCTTAGTCATGGTCTGAGAGATTTTACACAGAATTACTAAGTTATGCAATTACTCTTTTTAATCACTTTTAAGAATTACTTGATAACTTAAAAAGCAATATAAACCTAAGCCCCTTATTCAACCATCATGGATTCCTAGACTATAATGGGAACAGTTACAAGTGTCTAGGTATGAAAGTTAAAATCAATAACAGAATTAACCTACTTAAAATGAATATTTTATTCCATTTCCTTTCCAGATGAAGCTGTCAATACAATCAATGTAATATAAAGGTGCCAGAATTTAGAAACCCCTGGAATCTGGAATATGCATAATCTCTACTGCACTGGGTTTGCATGGCAAGGTTTTGGTAGTGGGGGAGCTCTTGCAGAAATTTCAGAATGTTCTGTTTCAGTCTTTTATCCAGTCAGAAGCTCCATGACTAAAACTTTGAAATTTATTTAGGTACTTTTTAAATGGGAACTACAGATATACCCCAATATTCCAATTCGTCCCAATGAATGAGAGCAGTCTCTAATGTTCTGCAAATCCCAGTGGGGAAAAAGAATTATCAAATGTGCCAATTGCTGAAGACTGTCACAGAAAAAACCAACTTTTAAAAAAAAATTTTTAATCAAAAGAATGAAGCTATACATATATTTAGGTAAACTTATTATATATTTGTTATATAAATTGTATATGTAAAAATATAACTTATACAAGAATATTATTTATAGAGAGAAGCATATAAGTACACTTATATGTAATGCATAAGTAAATATAAATATATTAATTTATAATCTCCTTGTAAGAGTTTCGCTGAAAGAAATAAATTTGTCATCACATCTTTGACTCCTTCACCATAATACATGTCTCTGCCAGAGCTGTGATTTGATTCTAAACATGACTTTATTTGGTTGGGAGGTAGATGAGGGAATAAATAATTCATATTGTGTTTTCTCTATGTTTGTTGATAACCCTGTCATTAGAGCTTATAAGATACTTTAAAGATTTATTAAAATATAAAATATTAAACAAAGTTACCACCTTTGTCTATAATTGCACACTTGGAATGCAAGTCACTCTTGGAAGCACCTTGTAAATGTGTTAGGAATTGATCATCACAGCCATGCAATGTAGGAGGCCCTGTGACAGATCATCCAGAGGTAAAAAATATGGGAATGGGTGGGAGGAGAGAGGTTAGAAACTTGTTCCTGGGAGCAAACAGAGACACTTGAGGTTACAATAAAGACATCTCAACCACTCAGCTTGTAATCAGAAGGCTCTGGAAAAGTATTACAGAATTGAAAATCTGAGTGAAGATCTGCTGAGAATTTCCTCCCATCTTGTATGTTAATAGTCCACAAATGCTTTCTGCCTTAAACACTAACACAGTAATTACTTCAGATGCAAGATCACATGGGAACCTGTCTCCAAGAATAAACAGTACTTAAAGAATAGGGAGAGCTGAAAATCAATGCTGAAAAAATACTCTGAGATTTACACTGTCATTTTGAACCTTTAACTCCTAGGACACGTAGAATACAAGATTTAGCAAACACATACAATATTAATTTCTGAATAAAATAAGTTATTTCTTCCTACAGGAAAAGGTGAAGGAGATGGGTCACACTCTCCACACACATGTTTCTGATAAATACAGCCACGTTCCTTGTTGGACTGCAGGGTTAACTAGAAATGCATTTACAGGTAGCATTGCTACAAGCATCTGCAAAATTGGTAACGTGGAAGGAAAATGAAACCAAACCCCATCCTAGACTAAGTTTCTTAACATTAGCCTGCGGGGAAAAGGAAAGGAACCTGGTTATTTCAGTATTTAACAATTTATCTCAGTACCTCACAATTTGGGATCTGTTTATAACCTGCTATACAAGAACAGAGGGAATGATGTGACATGAGCAGGCCTCTCCCATTTCAAAGACACATGGAAAAAACAGTGGATAGGAGAGTTCCTACATAAAAAACGGAATATTATGTAAAAAACTTGTGTATGACTGAATTTTTATTCTTACCTGATATAATTAGCAGCATTTTGTGGAGTTTCACTGGTGTAAGAGAGATGAGAGTGATCAAAGTGAACTAACACCCAAGAAAACCAGTAAAAACATTTGTATTTTCACCATTACCAGGAAAAAAAGACAAAACCATTTGGTACATTAAAAAAGATGTTCCACATAGGTCTAAGGCTGCTCATTCCACCAGTTTAACAAAGCTTATAAAGAACATTAAGCAATAGATCCACATACAGTACCGATTCAGGGAAGGAATCGGGGAATCGATTCGACTGTTAGAAAATTCTGTTGCTATTGGCATATTTAAATCCATCTCTCTGCAAGTCTGGCACTCCAGACACAAAATGACCATTGTGAATGATTTCCTGAATTCCAGTCCATAGGATGCTACAGAATTGACTTTGAACAGATTAAAAATAACACATTACTTTTCACAAGAGAACAATCCAGGAACCATTTTCAGGCCCTTGGACCAACTAACAGGCAGAGCTCATTTCCATTCAGCTAAATTCCTGTTTCCAAAACAGGGTAGTCCTACCCCAACTGCCTAGAAGGGGATGGTTGCTGGCCTAAGCTAATCCCCAAACTGCTCAAGCATGGTTGAGTAGATGCTACTTAAATCAACAAAAGTGGAAAACATGCCAACATTGAACAACTTCCCAGCTTGAATAGAGGGCTCATAGTCTGGTGCAGATGCTGCCAACACACCTAACAGTCCATCAATGTCAAAGGCACAGAGATTTTGGTGATACCAAGCTATTGGATCCAGAATGGACTTTCCCATGGTATAAGAGGGGTTTAGATGTGAAGGTGAAACTTCAAATCCTTGTTATCCAAGTTAGAACCTACCTAAAGGCAAAAAACAACCCGCAATATCCTGCTTCAGCAAGCACAGGCCTTGGTAATTATTATGACTGACATATTGTAATTCAATAAATTCCTTTCTAAATAAAATCAACCCTTCACTATACAAAACCGTCAGTGGGACTTACAAATTATTCTAGACCGTAAAAAGCTTCATTGCTGATCTAATTATGCTCTGCATCTCACAGCTCTGGGAAGTGCAGAACAATCAGAGCACAGCAGGCACCAGTGCTGGTTCCCCTCTCCCTCACCACAGCCCCACACGCTCCAGTGGACAGGGAGAGGACTCTGGAGCAGTGACAGATCAGCTCCTCAACCTCCTCTGAAAGGGAATAAGCTTCTAGGTCTTTCTCACTTCTTTATGCCCCAGTAGAACAACCCAAAGCAGCCAGAGGTGCAGCTCAGTGAAGTGGTGGAAGGGTCCAGAAGAATCCCAGATGCTGCACGACGTAACAGAACTAAAGAATATGGCAAATTCAGCAGTGAGTCAGCAGGGCCAGGATACAAGGAAATGGCCTGAAGTTGTGTCAGGGGAGGTTTAAGCTAGTACTAGGAAAAGGTTCTTGCCCCAGAGGGTGGTTGGGCACTGAACAGGCTCTCCAGGGAGTGGGCACAGCACCAAGACTGACAGAGCTCAAGTGTTCGAGCCGCACTCTTAGAGACAGGGTGGGATTGTTGGAGTTGTTCTGTGCAGGGCCAGGAGTTAGGCTTAGATGATCCTTGTGGGTCCCTTCCAACTCAGGATATTCTGTAGTTCTGTGAGGATCAGTGGATAGAGCTGGATGTGCCAGCTGTGCACTGTGGTGGAGAGAAAAGGATTAAATCAGTTATGTAGGAGCCATAGGAAAGTCAGACAGGCCATAAAGAGTAGAAGCAGAATGCAGAAGAAAGAGGTCAGTAAGACAAGGCACATGTGGCAAAGAGATCAGAAGAATTAAAGCCAGAAGGAGGAGCAGACAGATCATAAGGAGTGAAATAAGAAAACTGAGAAAATCTCTCTGCAGTATAGGAAGGGAGACTTACACGGTCAAGAGACAGTGAAGAAAAGAAAAATGAATGAGCAAAAATGAATGAGTAAAACAGAAGTTATGCTTTTGCAGAAGAAGAGAGGCCAGGAAAAAAGGAAGGGGAATAAAAGCAGAGCAATTAATAAAAGGAACGAGACAGTAGGGATGAAAGGAGGGACAGGAAAGGGATATAAAACAGCACAAGGCACACACATTGGAAGAAACAAGCACTCACTTATTTATTTATACTTCTATATTTTGTGTTATCTTCACAGCAAGCATCCCATAGCTGCATAGATATCTTATTTCTTGGGGGGTGGAGGGTGTTACAAAGGGAGGATGGGCTGGGAGCATACTGTTGCTGGGGGGATTTAATACAGCTCTTGTAATGCTGGACACATATTTATTGAAATAACTCAAGCTAGTGCCTGGCACTTTTTCAGAAATGTCAATATCTGATTTGAAAGAGAACAAAAAATTTATTTTAAAAAAGAACACAACAAAAATAAACAAACCTGAGAAAATTTGAAGAATGTAAGGAAGTGATTGGTGTCATTTGTCAGCAGATACCAGCAGCCTACAAATATTCAGCTCCTATAGATCACCAAATGCTTTTTGCTATTTGAATGACATCTGAAACAGAAAAGAGATATGATTTATCTCTCCTGAATATTGCATTAACACAGGATTAATACTGCCTGGTGAAATAAAGTTATCTTGAGGGAAATGAAAAAAGGTAGCCATTTAAAAATAATTTAAACTAATTCTTGTATTGTTCAGTTATTTTGTTGGAAATTTTAAGGCTTTTCAAGAAACATTTGACATTTTTAGTTTTCATCTTTATCCATTTCTTTCTATCACAATGATTTCTCAGAAAAAGAGACAATTCTGTGCAAAAAGGGCAACACATCAGAAGGTTTCATATCTTACTGTTAATCACTGCAACAAATGTACTTATAACCCCACGGACCCTTCTGATAAAAACCACAGTTGAAAAATGTTACTACCTTGGCCAGCAGTAATTGCCTACTAGCATTCATTGATATTAAATTTTGATTCTTATTTATGATTATTTCTACCTGTCCATTTACAGGGCAGTTTCAGAGTGCCCAGAGCATGGTTGCCAGGTTGACACGTCATCCAGTACCACATCCTGGGGTTTTATTGGATTCATTTTTTCATTCAGCAAGTATTTGCTCTTGATGCTTAATTCAGAAGCTTCTTGATTCTGTGCTGGGAATAAAAATACGGAATTGGTTCTCCAATTAGCAAACATTTTCAGCTGAAAAACGATCAAATCAAGGCCATATCCTCAGCAATCATCTTACTTACAAAAGTGTGACTTTTTTTTTTTCCCCCAAGAGCTCTCAATGCCCATTTTCCAGCTAATTAGCTACCTGTCTGCCTTGTCCAAGTGGCAGAGTTTAATTCCAAAATGAAAGACTTGAAAAACACATGAAGGTTCTCCAAAAGCAAATGACTTGCATTCAAACAAACAAAAATTCAGTGCTGCCTTTCTTTCTGTGAAAGATTTCTTGTGCACATTAAAATTCAATGACTAAGAAAGATTGGGAAGACATTGCTCTGGTCACGTTGTACTCTTTCATACTGTTTCTTCCCACATTTTCTCCCCTGAACCACATGTAATGAAGACAAGGAATAACAGCGATTATATTAATATATAAGTATTGTGGTTTTTTATAGTTACATTAAAATACTGTTAAAACACACCTGTCTCAGCAAACATTCTCACAGATTTTATTCATTCCAAGCTGGGAATGCAGCTTGTTTTACTTGAATGAGAAGGTTTTTATCCACTTGTTCTTTAATAGTCTTGATGTACTGGCTGGATGTTATTTTTATTCTGTAAGTAGCAGAATATAGCAAGAAGTGGGGTTAAACCTCTTGCTGATGGTTTAAATTAATGGGTACTAATGTCACATTTTGCAGTTTCCAGCTGAGTTTGATTGAAATAAGGGTTCTAACCCTGCATTTTCAGCCTTCCTGAGCACTGGTTCAGGATAGATTGCAGGAACTCATGTAAGGGAAATCCATTAAGGATTTCTAAATGCGTGGATATGCACAGAAATACAACGAACTCAGGGAACAGCAACCAAGCTGCAATCTCGGAGAGTAACAGAGGGAATGGGCACGGATAGATTGCCCTCTGTCTGTTGATAGCATATCAAAGGACTGGCTTAACAGATTGTGCTCTCTGGCCAAGTAGTTCCTGAGGCTTTTGGATACCTTAGTGCACTACTATGTGTTTTTGGCAAAATGATCTACTCTACAGTAAAAAGCTAAGTTTGGAGATTAGCCTGTGGTTGTTTTGTTTTATTGGTGTGGTGTTTTTTTTCTGTGTGTGTTTTTTGTGGTTTTTTTGTTTGTTTGTTCTGGTGTGTGTGTGGTTTTGTTTGTTTTGTTTTGTCTTTTTCCCAAGGAAAAAAAAAAAAAGCAGTAGCTCTGTTAGTATTCTATAAATTTTGCAGCTGTTCTTCCTCAGTCTTCCTCTTCTTGTAAGAATAGTTTTGGCCAGATTTACAGTGGCATTTAAACATCCAGTTTGGTGATGCATGATATTTTCAGAAGTGAATTGCATGGATAATGCACTTAATTCTGAATAAACTGGGATTTCTGATGATCCTGTCAGCTTTTATCTGCATCTTTACATGCCTAAACATCTTTGTAGATCTAATCTTTCATTTAGACTTTACTAGAAGCAGAAAATTCATCCCTGTGCAACTCATCTATGTTTTCTCATGGATGCAATGAAATATCCAGCACAATCTGAAAAATACACACATTGAGTAGGAGAGGATTCAGTAACCCTTCCTATTCTCTAGTCTATCTCATTTAGGCACTTTACTATCACTAGGCTAGAACATTTTTTTTTTTTTAGCTCAGGCCTCTTTGGCTACTGCTGCCTTTTCTTCCTCAGAAATACACCAACAACCATGAAAACACACAGTGAAACATGTGAAGATGAAGATATTGTGGCTAAATAGTTGGAAAAATATTATGGATTAACTCAACAGCTGCAACATCAATGGCACTTGAAAGAAGTGTCCTTTCCCACGTGACAGAACTGCACAGAACACAGCAGTTGTGTCACAATAAGTGCAGGTAAAATAATACCAGGGATGAACATCCAATAGTTACAAACAGCACAAATTGTGGCTGCCCAATCCCAGGAAGTGTTCAAGGCCAGGCTGGACAAGGCTTGGAGCAACCCGGTCTAGTGGAAGGTGTCCCTGCCCACAGAGCTGGAACTAGATGATCATTAAGGTCCCTTCCAATCCAAACAAGTCACTGGTTTTATGACTTGAACCAAATTTTGTTTGTTTTTCATAAATATAGAATATTTTATCTTATTGGAAAATTACTAGAAATGTCTGCTTCTAGGGGAATTAAAGCTGTAGGAATCTCTATCTGCACACATTGTTTTAGGATGGATTTAATGATTTGTGCATATGGTCACTTCTGTATTTGTTGACAGACACTATTCAACACATCAGGTCACTGCAGTCCAGCATCATAATCACGATTATAGTCCCATCACAGGATAAGTAATTTTACCTGCCTTCACTCCAAGAGCACCTGCAGGGATACCTAGAAGGTCTGTATGCATATTTTACTTAAACAACAGCATTTTGTAAAACAGGGGGAGAAACTGCAGAGCCACAATCAGCACTTTCTTGTATGTCTGAAGTGGGGAGAGGATGAGTTGCTTTTTTGTAGGAAGATGATTAATGAATTGTTGACAGTAATAAAGAAGCAGACATCTTGGAAATATTATTATGGATCACATATCACTTCAAACAGCAACTCTGCCTCCGTAAAAGATTTTATTTGTTATATTGTGCAAATCGATTGTAATTTGCTACTGGCTTCTTTTCAAATACATTTCTTCATTGCTGCCTTGGTAAATAATAAATCACACTAACTATTATTTCAAAATTGAGTGTTCCAATTTAGTTATGAATGGAGAAAGCAGAGGTACTTCAGGGTATAAAATCTTTTAGCAGTTCACAGAAAAATAGCTTCTTAAGGATAAGCACATCAAAAATCATTAGAGGCAGACTAGACCATAGGAGCACACGTGCCTTTGTGACTGAAGGCAGCCTGACAAAACACTGACAAGGTTATGCTAAATCAGATTTGCCTTCAGACATAAATCAGAAATTTATATATATATTTGTTTTTTCCAGATTACCAATTTGTGCTTTGTACAATAAAAGAGATTTGTTTCTCATGCTCAGTGTGGACAAGTCATGCTTTTCATATAAGAAATAAACCTGCAGGAATAGAAACGATTCTACAAAGTTATTAGATTTGGATGGATCCAGTACATCACTGCAATCTAATGGATAACCTGCATTAAGATGAGCTATTAACTTCTGTTTTCTTGCCTGGTTTTACATGATGTTAACCTTAATACTCAATGAACATTTATGCACCCAAAACACACAGCTATTACAAATTTTTATACGGTTTCAAGAGAAAATATACAATATTGGTTTAGGTTTCTCTTTTAAGGTACTTATCCTTTTATTTGTGTGTGTGTATGTGTTTTTTTCTTTATTCAATTTTTTTAACTGAAATCTTTTTGACAAATACTACCTAAAACAAAAGCAAGGCCCTTGTAACTTTTATAAATTGACTATCTAGTGACTAGCATTCCTACCAGATATAATTATTTATGAATTATACAACTCTGCTTTGGGTTTTTCCCAAGTTTCTTTCCTCTTTCTTTTCAAAATAAGGTTTGGTGGTGTTTTTTTCTTCCCCTGATCTTTCTTCATAGAGGTTTGCTACAGAATTACTGTGATTGTGTGCAAAATAAGAGTAAAAATGACCTTACAGCTTGAGCAAAATGTATTTAGCATATCACTTCAACATATGATAAATATTTTTGCTAAATGGGGGGTTTGTTACAGTCATTTCTCAATGAGAATGAAAACCAGTATTTCTAAATAAACTGAGAAAGACTCACCTGGAGTTTCAGGAGTTTACTGGACCCTTTCCTTCTGTGTGTTCAAACAGCCTACTTGAAGGAGCTCTGCAATTAGAGATATACATTAAAAATGTACCTCCATAAAATAAGGAATAATCTAAGTCAACTTCAGGTTTTTAACCAATTAGTAACATACTCCTGATTTTTTTCCATGTGTCCAGCTTTACCTTTTTCCTATGAAGAGGCAGTTTCGCAATGAGAACTTCCTTTTAAATCCTCATATTCAGTTGCTCAAGAAGAAAATATGAAAACAGCAGTCGGGGGCAAAAAAAATAGAACTGCAGATCCATAATCACTAGTCTGTGATCTGTTGTGCTCCTGACATACATTAAGAAGATCCCTTGGATAATTCTGTCTCCATTCATTATATCCCAAAAGAGTCTGGTTTCATTGACCTTGCTCTCAGTACAGTGCCTTATGTCCTACTGATTTAAGGAGTTTTATATAATGAGTAGATGAAAAGGGGTGACATTAGCCCAGAGAGCCATAATATATAAAATGTTCTTTGCTCAACACTAATTAGTTTACTTGATTTTCATCTGGTAGGTCTTGTCTCCAAGGTACAGAGAATGCTTTTGATTTCACATGCCATAACATCAGACACTTAAGTTCTTTAGTTTCATATCCTGTTCTGGGGGTGGTAATAATTTTGTTTAAATAAAATCTTACTTCAGCAAATAAAAACGAATTTTTTGTCTGAAGACTTAAAAAAAAAAAAAAGCAGCTCTTTTTATTGGGGACTTGGGGAAATAGACGATGAATTAGACTTTTTGATAACTGAAGATTAATATCAGTCTGCTCCCAATCAAAAATCTTCAGCACTTGAATACTGAACACTTGAACAGCGAGGCTCATTGACACAGCCTCCAAGACAATAAACCAAAATAGATACAGCTGCTGAAGTGGAAGTTGCTTTCAGCCAATGAATTTCCTGCCTGTCAGATTTGTATGCGTGTTTGAATGTGAGGGTAATGAAATAACATTATAGATTTCTGAACCAGGGCAGCCTTTATTCAGATAAGGTTATAAGCAAATATGGTTTCGAATGAGTGTCTGCTGAAGTAATATTATCCATTCCCCACTTATTCTCAGGAGCTTAACTGTTTGCTGCAACATTTAAACAAGCCCAGAAATGTCGTCTGGGATCATGTACAAAGAGCTCTGCACCTTGGGCAAATATAGAGTACTAAGGTCACAGGAGCCGTATTCAGACAGTTTAGTGCGAGTCTGTGTAGACTTAACTCTTTATTCCCAGTGTTTCCTTTCACATCTTAAAGCCAGACAGTAATAAACAAAATTAAGTGAAATTTAATTGCCAAATCAGTATGAGACCCAAAGGTTTTATCTCAAGATAAGTAGCATACAATGCTGAGGCCAGACTGTCAGGCAAATACAAACTGATAGATCAACACTACATGTTTATAACTCAAAAGGGAACATTTCCAATGAAAAGTAGGCAACATTTTTAAAATCACTTCACTGTGATACAGGTTTTAAATAACTAAAATTAGATTTTAATACATATAATTTTGAAACATATTCAGTTGGAAAAACCATCAGATGGTTGGTGTTAGTCCCACTCCGCAATGCCAACAACACTCCTTATCTGGAGGAAATACCCACAGCAGCACTTGTGGGATGAAGGTTTTGAAAACCCTTTAGACTCACCATAGTGAAATGAAATAGACTTTTTAGAGAAATCATAGACTGTTCACAGTGAAAAGCCTGGGATCACCAGTATCACCCCAGTATTCAACACAAATGTGATAAAAGCAGTTCAGTGGAGAGAGCAATGAGCTGCTCCCACTCACACCAGGTACAAAGCAAGCAAAGGTCCACGTGCCTGAAAGAAGTGGGGTCGTATCTAGAATTGGATCTGATGAAAATTCTCCAGTTGCAAATGTAAACTATAACGGGTTATTAAAATATTAAAGATAAAAGTGACCTTTGGTTATTGGGGTTTGTAAGTTTAGCTTTCTTTTCTTTCAAATCAGGAAGAAAGAATTTTGAGCTATTCAAAAGCAATGGGTTGGCAGTAGAGATTAAATTAAAATGAATAGCACGACCATGACAGAATTAAATATATGTTCTATAGAGCTACTGAAGATATGTATTCCATTACCATTTCATTCTTCTAAAGGAGTCTTTTAGCTTACTCTCAAAGGGATGAAGTTGTGACCAAAATATTCAAGGCAAGGACCAGAACTGCCCTAAAGAGTATTTAAGTCATGGGATAGTTTTTCTGAAGAACACAAGTAAACAGGCAAAGTGGAACAGACACATTCTGGGAATAATTATTGCCTCCAGTATATTAAGTTATTCAGCAGTAGGCTATTCAGCAATAATTATACTACCCCTGGGCAAGGATGATTTAGTGCAGCACACTGGTGAAAGCTGCATAATTAAGAGAATGGGATCTGGCTACTATTTAACACACCTTTCCAAATGTTCATTTGATCCAGTTGGCAAGAGCCACAATGGACTGTATTCCATGGGAAGGTTAGCACTGTGTCTTGTATTACAGTGTCTTGAGTGCTGCAGCATTTAGCACTCTGTAGTCAGAAGGTCAAACTCTGCCCTCATTTAACTCTGTGTGAGCCAACCAGCTCACACAGAATTGCATGTGTCTAATTAAAAGCTTCGTGTGGTCTGCTGGGCCACCCTCTGATGTTAATACTTAATGCAGTTTAGCACAATTTGTTCTGGTGATGTTGAAATCAGGCTGAACAAAAGCCATGTATAGGTCCTAAAACCAGCTATAAACCCTCTTATGTTTGAATAAGAAAAAAAAAAGGTTATTTAAAAGAAAGAAATATTTTAGTGTTTGAGATTACGGGTATATGTTTATACGGTATTGGGAATTGTTCCCTTTTATCTGCTGTTCACATTGTGGGATTCATAGAAATGGGGAAAAAGAACCTCTGGAATGGTTACTATAATATCACAAAACCACTCAGACTCCCTTTTGTTACAGAATAGAAAATCAGGACATAAAGAGGGATGAATCTGTTCCGTAAGACTTAGAAAGTGCCACCATGTAAACATCCAATTCAGTCACATCTCAATTGCTGAGTTTACACATCCTGCAGAATCCATGATGGAAACACTCACTTGGGGGCTCTTACCTTGTCCCTGTGCTTCAGTCAGCTCTGAGAGCACTTTTCAAGAACAAGGGATTTGAAAGGCATCTGACACAGGGCGATATTCGAAAACATCCCACTTGGCTATCTTTGCTATGGCAGGAACTCTTTCTTGGAGCCTTATACCCACACATGGAGGACTATCAGCAAACATCTGACAGAGACAGCAAGCCTGGAACGCCTCCAGCCCTGGAATCTGGCTCTGTGCCTCGGCTGTTTGGCTCAGTCTCTGACAGATCCCATGACTTGCTTTACAAGCAGTAGCAGTGGCAGTTTGGAAAAGCCTCCAGGGGAGGTCATGGGGGGATTGGCTTGGCTCCTCCATATCATTTGTCTTGTCTGAAATTAATTTTGAGGAAGCTGTTCAGCATTGCTTAAAAATAAGATTATGTGTTAGCAATAGCCATTCATTTTCCTGCTTAGGGTAAGGTAACAGAACACTGCATTCAAATGCCAGGATTTATGTCACTCTGGGGAAACATGTTCTAAGCAATTTGATTTTTTTTTAACATTTCTCAGTTATCCTGTTTGATACAGACATCACAAATGGTGAAAACCTATAGCTCTGTAGGATAAAAATAAATAAATCTAGATTTTAGGAGCTTAGAAAAAATGTAGAAAAACTTCACAATTCTTACTCTTTTGTCTTACAAATAAAACCAATCAAACATTAAATTTCAAAATCTTTTTACATTCTTTTACTACTTCTGAGAACTTACAAAATCCTTCAGTAAAAAGAGTTGGCATTTTTGCATCTCTTGCTATTTCACAGCAATAAGACTCTGACTTACAGACTTGAAAAAGACTAAAGATACTTTGACTAAACTTATTTACAAAGTCACTGACTTCAATTAAATTCTTCAAGGTTAAGCCAAGTTTAAAGATGACCTAATAATTCTATAGCCCTCCAGATATCATCTTCTATGACTTGTTTTGTTAGCAAGACCTGCTCAGAATTACACTAGGATCTTTCACTATTACCTTCCCTTGCTGTTACCAATCACTTATTGTGTATTTCTTCCTTTGCTATGTTTTTTTTTTCAGTTGCTTATCTCTTCTGGCCCATTGCAATTGCTGGTAGATTACTTTCTAAGTTTGTTTTTCTATTATTTTTTTTTTTCTGAAAGAGAACAGATTTTCCTGGGGGAAAAAGTAGAAATTAAAAACATTCAATATCCAAATCATCAAATATTGAGAAATGGAGTAGAACTGCAGGATGTGGCAGCTTGTGCCTTCCCTTTGCTTTAAACACAACACTTAAAGCACAATGATCACATATGAGGACACTTTCCAAGGATGCAGGAAGGCCAGTAACAGGAATTTATTCTGATTCTGAAGTGAACCAGAAGGGTATCACAACACAGAGAATGTACCAAGCCAGGACATAGCTGGACAATATTCACCATGCTGAAAGCAGGCTCTGGTGTAAAAGCCAGACAGGTGAGGATTTAGGGGCAGACTGAACTCGCTTTGGACTCTGCTTATCACTCATGGATATGCTCACAGCACAAATAGCAGAGCATCTTAAACTGACTGAGAAAAGTCCCAAGTCACTTAAGGACAGTGAATCTGCAGCGAACAAAATAACACACTTGGTTCTTTCACCACGCTTTAACTTCACCGATGAGTCAAAAATCAAGCTCTCATTTTTAGCTGGTTGCAAACAAACTGTATAAGATGCTGAAAAAGCTTCCAGAACTTACATCTGTTATCACAAACACAGACGAGATTCTGCCTCTGGGTGAGCAGCCATAGGTTCTTCATGATTTACTGTATGTGGGAGAATTTCAGCATCAGTCCACCCAATTTCCACAGCATTTTGGAATTTTTAGGTTTCTCAGCCTGCACATGCTTCTCAAGAAGCACCTGTTAATTTGAAAAGAACACAAAAACAGAATACAAAATTAAATTAAAAAAAAAAAAAAAGAAAAAGAAGACAGCTGCTTACAGCACTGGGGGCAACAAGGCTGAGATGAAGAAGGAATCTTTATCTCAGGGAAAGGCAATAGCACTTCCTGCACATGCATCAGCAGTGGTTTCCCTGCTGTAATGCACACTTTGAACTGGTTCTGTTCTCCTTCTCGTTTTTAGCTCAGAGCCTAATGATCCTTGTTGCTAAGTCACATCAGGCTAACACTACAAAAGGACAAGTTCCATCTCAACAAATGAGTCTATATTGGCACACACAATTTTCATCTGTGTTCCAAGGAATTATTTTGATCTGCAAACTTAAATTAAAACTCATTCCTGATCTTTTCACAAGGCACATTGCCCTGGGAGCTTATACTCTGAGTAACACTTAGTGTCTTGCTCTCTCCTCTTTTGGAAAACAATGGATGCTTAGAATTCATTCTCAAAGCTGTGAGAATGTGCAATATGCACAAAACTTCAGGCTATGGCATATGTAGTGACACTGTGCATTCAAGTACCAGCTATAATCAATATTTGCGATTTATATGCTGGAATTTAATCACCCCTTACACTTATTACAAAGATTAATATAATTTTTACTCTAAACTCCCACCAGTCTGTGTGCACAGCAGTCTGTAACATGATAGCTATTCTTGCCACAAGTTGTACAGTAAACCTGAAAATGTTTCACAGTGGTACAGATTACTGCAGTAGTTACCATACTGGTAATGAGAGCACTTGCTGGAACGACAAAGTGTGGTAAGTCCTTTCACAAACCCTCAAACCTGCAGATTTATTTGCTCTAAAACCTCACTGACTCACGAGTGCACAGGAAAAGAAGGTATGAGAAGGTGACACATACCAGTTCTGCTTCATGTGCAGTTCAACACTGACATGGTTCCTGTGACACCTTCTACAAAACCCAATGAAAACAGAAAGGACAAAGTGACACAAAGGACTGGTCCTTTCATGCCAGAGCCTACCCAGGTGGAAGCCTGCCATCTGTACAGGTCAAAGATCAAAAGCAACAGGGGCACTCAAACTTCATTGAGCATCATGGAGAATCTTCTCAGAGAACTTCACATTCCACAAAGATCTCTGCTTTAACAGGTATTTACAATTTCCTTTGAACCTACAAATCTCCAGTACACTTTTAGCATTTCCAGCTGAGCTTTTACATATTTGTTCTACCCCTTTTTTTTTTTTCTTGTTCCCTGAATATCAAGGACAAATCTCAAATTATCCTACAAGAATGTCAAAGCTCCTGCCTTAAAATTAAATTGTATCCTATCCCAATGCGAACCAGAGTATTTCCTGAAATCTCAGTAAACACAGTCTAAACCAAGTGTTCACTCAGGAAAAAAAGAAGTATCCAGGCACCTGACTTTATAATGACTTTAAAATACAAGAATGACTAGCAAATTTGAATACCACATGTTCTGTTTTTTTCCAGTGAGCTATATTTTGGTTTACAAAAGAAGCTGAAGGCTGTTCTTCTGTGGAGAGAGAGGAAAAGAGGAAGAGAAGTAAATACTAAAGACAGAATAAAAATCCTTTGAAGGGGAATTGAGTGCCTGCCTACTGCTTAAGAAAAATGCACTATAAAGCACCTATTGATTTTTTCATTCAACAGTACTGAATGTTTTATTGAAAAGGAGCAATGCTCAGTAATTTGAATTTTCAATTAAGGTAGCACGTTCCTTGGACACATTTACTCCTGCACTCCAGTGACATTTATTTGACTTTTAAAATCCCTCTACTATTGTATTCATGTTTGTATAGATCAAACTCCCAAAACAGAAAGTGTTGGGATTATAACACTGCTGATTATAGACATGTCTGGAAGGCTCTGTGGACAATCTAATGACTTTATTTATAGGTAGGACAATGTGTAATCAGACACAGCTGAAGTAAAATATGCCACTATGAGAGAGATTAGGCAATTTAGTATTTCAGCTGAGAAATATTTACATTTTATTTGCCTTTATGGGCAGTGTATAGTTGCAGTGAAGTTAAACTAATTATTAATAAAAGGTTAAAATTTTAGAGGATTGGGGGGAGGCTTTCCTGAAATTCACACTTCTAAAACTCATCAGTTATTACTTTTATTAAAGATTCAGCTGTTAGATAGACTGCAGTATTTCTGGACTGTAAATAGATAATGATGGCTTCTGGAGAAAAACTGGCTGGAAACCTGAGAGTTTTCATTGCCCCATGGAGAAGTGGGGGAGCTTGATCTCCATGTGGTCAACTGGCAAATTTGTACTTCTAGAAATAGATTTAGTTTGTCTTGGTCATAGGTGTTCCCTGTTCAAAAACCTTACCATCTACTTCTGCTACAGGAAGGATCTGGGTAATCCTTGGGAATTTTACCACCACAGGAGGCACAGCTTGGAGTTAATTTATTTCATCAAAATCGCAGCATCAATTGCAATTCCCACCACTTTGTGACGTGTTGTGCTTAAAATCTTGTTCCTTGGCCTAAAATTCTAAATATGAGCAAAAGGAACACACCTCAAATGCAAAGCCAAGAAATTCCCGTTGCTTTAACTGAAGTCCAAAGATCTAGTCCAGTTACACTGATACCTCAAAATACAGAGATACCAGTATCTCAAAATATCTAACCCCAATGCTTTTCTATGATGTTGTGCCTACCCTTAGCCATGTTTTATTTCTTCTTACCCTTGAAGCTACTTAAGGCCATTTTTACGTGCTCACATGTTCATTCTCTCCTGCTTTGCAATTACATGTTGCACTCATATCTACTCTAATATATATGGTGTGTTTTCAAGAATGCTGGACATCTGTTCTTTCTTCACTTTGTTACCTACCCCTAAAAGTGGTTTCACCCAGGTTTGTTTCCTTTAACAAAAATTATCCACAGGAGAATTATTTATGGTGTTCTGGACTTTGGTATTATCCTATGCCTGTAGATTCACACCCCTGCTGTTTTCTCTCACCCATACTCTTCTATGCTGCATTTTTGTTCCAGGGTCATGGGTAGTTCATTCTGCACAGGAAACCTACTTGCTTTGCCAGTATACCAGTCACAGAAATACAAAAAACAGTGTATAAGCATGTATATTTAGACACACACACCAATTAGACAATTGTACTAAAGCTAAAAATAATAATAAAAAAATAGATAGTAGCACCTGTGTGTCAGATAATTGTTGTTACAACTAAATAAGCAAAACCAAAGTGCACACACAGGCCAAACCAATTCCAGACAAAGCCTGACAGGTCCCAAGACCTACACTGTTATCTTAACACAAAGACTATTTGCTTTTGCAAGCGACAGTAACACCATATTTACAGGGCTACAAGACTACAAAAGAATAATTTCACAGAACTGGTGTGAGAAAAAAATATCAGTAAATCAACAGTGTCTTCAATGGCTCCTAATTTCCTTCAGCAATCTTTCTGCTACTGAGGAGAAAAACAGATGTTGGTACTGAATTTAATACTTTCTGCACACGCAGTCTGTAGTGTCCAGATAGCACTAACCTCTTCTGCAATCCAAGCCTTTTCCCCCTAAAAATCACTAATTACTTTTATTTTTTTTCTTTTTCTTTGGTTGGTTTTTGTTTGTTTGCTGGTGGTAAAGATGAGGATATTTGTCTGTTACCAAGAGGCCCCTAAAGTGGTTTCACACAGAGATTATTCCCTTGAGTAGTTTGGGGTCATAATGCACAAATCCTTTCTTCAAACCTTTATAACATGAGACATTTTCAAGTCAGGCAGGCAAATGGCTTCTTGGAGGACAGGAGGAGCTCCCTAGTCCCTCTAGAAGACTGAGCCCACCCAATATATTGTAGTACTTAAGGTGCCTTGTTTCTCTACGTGACCCTTTAATCAGGACGGACTCACACATACTCAGTGAAGTGCTCCCAGCCCTGTTATCATCTCACTGAGATTTCCTGTTAGAGCTAATGAGGTTCTGCTCCCACTTAATCTCTAAATATGGCACAGTTCACGCTTTTTAGTTTGCTTAATGACATGCTATTAATAAAGGCACGACCTGAACAGCTACTTGCATTTATTGTTTTTTTCCCCCCCACCACCATTTTTTAAAATTATGCTAGGGCAATTTAATTTTTTAAGTTCAGAAACTGTTGTTTTGTTTGACAAATTGTATATAATCATCCAACACTGCCATGAAGGCCCTCACCAGGGTGAGTGCATAAGATAGCAATTTCTCCAAAACATTTATCATGATATCGAAATTGCTTCGCTATTTTTACAAGTTATTATTATTATTGCCTTATTGACAGAGTGGTAGCCAACCCATACTAAAGAAGGGTTGAGTCCTCTGTAATTACATGTTTTTTCAAGTAATATCAAGTTATTGAAAGCACAGAACTATGCTTAACTATAAATTTGTTGAACACTAACTATGCTGGCAGAACTACTCAATATCTTATTTTTCCAAAGAGAAATAGCCCTAAAATGGTACAACAACCTATCCCTTTATTGAAACAAAATAATTGGTGTTCGCACAAGAAACAAAAGTTTTTTGCTAGATTTAATGAAACCATAATATAATTCTCTGATCAAAATCATTACCAGACAATCTTGGTGCAAATGAGATTTTTTTGTGGGTTTGTGTGTAAGACTCAGATATTAGATAGCAGAGAATTAACTCCACATCATTATTTTAAATTGAAAACAAACAAGCAAAACAAATGTTAATTACCTTTAATTTCAACAACATGAAACCTTGTTTGTGTGAGGGAAATCAGAGTGCATTGAAATTTAATGGGATTTGAGTGTTTTGGTTCCTATCGTTTTTTAAATGCTTCTAAAGCATTTTTTTGCTTCTATTTTTGCTTCCAAAAAACACCAAGTTGCCCAAAGAATATTAAATTTCTCTGTTTACTGTTCCTTGTTTTGAACCAGATATTACAAAAGAGCAAAATACCCAGACTGTGCTGGTATGGATGTATTTGTTCTGAGAGGGGACTCTGTCCCCACATCCAACCTCTTAAAAATGTTAAGGCCTACTGGTCCCTGGATAAATTCCTAGGGGATACTACTGACAGCTGCAGTTTGTACTCCTGGTCAAAACATACCAACACAAAACAAAGAGAAAAATAAAAATGAGTACACCAGAAAACTGTCAAATTTTAGAAATTAAACTTAAGAATTATATGCATTCCATATGCTTACAAATGATCTTCATTAGCACCTAATTACAATTTAGTTCAACTAATCAGATGATCAACTGCATTGATTCTTATCAGCTTATTAACCCTAACATAAAGTACTATGAAAATTTACAAGATTGCAGTTGACAATTCAAGTTATTTTCAAATGCTTTGTTCTCTGAAAAAAAAAAAAAAAAAAAAAACCAAGAGGAATACATTTTGTTTTCCTGCTTAAGAAAAACAGCATTCAAGTGAAAGAAGGAATGAAGATGATGTGCAATAGCATGGTTTGGCCTACATAAATTTAAGTGTGAATTTGAGACTGTAAAGAGCAGTTTCTGTCTCATATAAATTCACACTTTCAGAGATTTTAAATGGGGTTCTACAAAGTTACAGTGTGAGCTCTTTCTAAACAGAACTTGAACCGCTGCTGCATGAAGCTGTAACGATCATAAATGATGAATGACTAAAGACAATGACAAATGAGGACATACTTGGAGCTCTGAATTTCTGTGTGTTATGGCTGAATACTTCTCATACTGAGAAACCTTCCCTTGCCTCAATTTTAATGCTGAGAGGATTTGAGAACCAGAGATGAGCCTGGCCTGAAGTTCACCTTTCTGAAGGGCTACAACTCTTACAAAATTCCTGGGTGACTTGTGTTGCTTGAAAGTTATAAGCTGAAATCAGAGATATTGCCTGATAAGGAAGTTAAGTGTCAAAATAGACAGTAAAGATCAAAATTTTACCATCATGAAGAATAATATCAGGAAACTATTCAGTGAAACTAAGGGTCTCTTCTTTGCACATAGATGGACAGTTAACAAAGGGGTCTCAGATGTGTGTGTTTAAGAAACTTTTAAGTTGTTATGGACAATGATAGAGATTATTCTCACACACTTTTCCAATCTATATTATATATATATATACCTCCTTATATATACACATAAACATATGAATTAGACATAACCTTCCTTTAGTCTTCATTCTTACCTCCCAATGACACTACTGAGTTTTTCACTCCATTCAGATGCTTGAAACATCTCTCATATGTGAAGCTTCTGTAATACAAGAATACAAAACACTCTGTTTAAACGAAAGGGGAAAATAAACAAAAAACACAAACAAACTTCTTTAAGACAAGAGTGGTCAAACAGTGGAGCAAGCTGCACAAAGAGGTCATGGAGTTTCCTTAAAAATACTCAAAATCCAGCTGGGCAATGCCCAGGAACGTGCCCTGGTTGCTCCAGCTCTGAGCAGGAATATCAGACTGTACAACCTGCAGAACTCTGTGCCAACCTCAGTGATGTAACTTTTATTAGCAGGGTTATGTGAACATCCTGTGTAAAAACCCTGGATACATTACCTTAAATCCTCTGCTGCTTTAGAGGCTAACCTTCATCTTCCAGTTTTATTTCAAATAGTGTGCTAATGAGAAAACCACTAGTGGAAAGCAGCACTTGCTATTAGATCTATTAAATATGATTAAAAGAAAGAGGCTGAAGTGCAATTAAGGTAAATATTTCACTGAGTTTTATTAATCTTCAGAGATTGTATCCAAAGCATACATACCGAAATCTGAGAGCCAGTGTTAAATCTCATGAGAGTAGAGCTGTGTGCTGTGGATATAAGGTGTGATTGGGCATTATCTAGTAAGACTTTAACACACATAATTGTTTGAACATTTTCCAGTCTTTTTTTTGCTATTACCATTACACACAAACTTCTACAAGTTAAAAAAAAAAATTAAAAAAAAATTATTGTGACTCATGAAGAATAGAATTAGCAATACATATATTGAAAGCATAAAATTGATTTTATTCTGATCTGTATACAAAAGACAGAATATGAAATAATAATATACGGACACCTAAGCGTTAAATTCTTTTGAAGACAGTAGGCAACTGTTATTAATTTTTGAAAGTGGCAAAAACTGAATGCTTAAAAAATGAAATACTGTTTCCAGTAACACAAGATATTTTAATTTAGATCATATGTCAATAACCTCCTGTTGTTCCATTTTGGTCTACTTTTATTACCTGCTTTCTTGGTTCTACCTTATCTAACAGCTTGTGGAAATAACAATTTGTGTCACTGATTTACCTTTCAGTCTCTCTGACCATTTTCTCATTTAGATGTATTTCCTATTTCATCACCTTGCCTTCAATTCTCTAAAATAGAATGAAAATATGCAAGAAGTGATATTCAAAAATCAAAATATTTTCTACTATATACATTTTTGGTAGCACAATGGCAAGGTAAACTGCAGTAGCAAGATAAACACTCTTCTTTTCTTATTGTCTCTTTTGTGTTAAAATGGAAGAGCAGAGATTCTTAACCAAGTGCCTGCAGAAAGCAGGGCATCTGAAATATCACACCACCTCCCACTCAAGTAATGAAAAAAAAATCAAGAGAATTGACAACAGATGTAAAAACTTTGACCTTTCCTGGAAAAAAAAAAAAGATAGGGTCTTGTATCCACTGGTGTAACATCCTCAATGTTAATGATTTTAGGAATTGATCAGCACTGGCCATTCCTGTTGTGTCTTTCTAAAACTGAGGCAGTGTGTTAATTCCTGTGGAACAGCAAAAATTAGAGTCTAGAATTAAGGGTTAAATGTGAAATACAAAATACAGTGTTAATTCTACTGTCAACTTAGAAAAGTAAACTTTTGAAAAATGTCCTCTAATGTTCTCCTGGAAAAAAACTCCATAAGACAGTGTATAGATAAAGATGCAGATCAAACCAATCTGCACATTATCTGAAGTTGAGGGTAGCTTCAAGAACCTGCATTGATCTCAAGGCCTCATAATCAAATGCATTGTCTGATGCTGGAATGAAGCCAACCTGCTTTGAAAGGCCTTTGCTTTATCCCTCCAAAAGCACCAGAAAAAAAAGTATACAGAGGGGAAAAAAAAAGGCTGATCTGATCTTCATTTCTTAGTAATGTTCAGAGTAAAGATATTATAAAGAAAAATCACTTGTACCTTGCTGTGTGATGGCAGAGAAGGTGGAAGCAGATCTGAAAAATACAGAATAGATTTCAAATTAAAAGTAGAAGGAATAACCTCTGTGAACTTGTAGGAAACAATAAGAGTGACAGAGGAGAATCTAAATTCTTGAATTTCAAATCTTGACTGCAACACTGGCTATACAGATGGTTGATAATTTGGTGGTACCACCACGGTGAGCTGTGCCTGATGTCCACAGTACAGCACTAGCCATGAATCTCACATTTAATCTTCATCATCGGGGACTAGCACACATTAACTGGACATCATTTAAATACAGTGGTAATGAACTCATCTATTAATATCATTATAATCTATCTCTCCACATTACAACAGCACGTTCTCCGTCTTTCATATCCATTTTTAAGCCATCAGCACTGCACTGCCACATGGAAAACCTCTTCTGGCTCTTCTACACTCTTTTGCAGCCACACTACATTGTCTTAAGAATTTGGTGACCTCTCTGTATACACTAAGATCCACAAGTCTTTAAAAAATAAAGCAGCAAGGCACAGGAATTAGTTGTGTGCTCAGACCTCTCCTGTGAAACACTTTACTGTGTTCAATCCATTGAGATGAAAGAGATACAAAGGAAACAGCCATGGAGATAACAGCATTTGGAAGCTTTCTCTTGTAATTTAGATATAGTCAAAAAAATCCAGTAAAAAAGTGTACTTAGTGATGAGTACAGACCTTAGTTCTGTTTGCATTTAATACTTTGTTCCCCAAACTCACCTGAATGGGAAATTTTTTACATGCACTTGTTTGGGGATCACTCACAATGGTGTTTGAATTAATTTTGTATTTATTTTAGACTGTAATTAGACATTTTATGTGACAAAAACAAACAAACAAACAAACCAACCAAAACAAGTGAAAGTCAGTCAACTTAATAACTGCTCTATTAAGTCTTACTTTCCTCTACCTTCCCTGACACACCTCTTGATAAAATAACTAATTAAAAATCAGATCTGAAAGCTGAATGTTAACACATTATTGCTACTAATACATTAAAATAGGGAAATTAGTAATAACAATGAATGTACTGTGACATTCTCAAGTCTTGTTCTGCCTCTTCCTCCTGTAATGACACCTGTCAATGGCAGATCTGACCATTAGGTCCTTGCTGCATAAAATATTGTAATCTTATAACCTTATCAACATCTTTAGGATCAGAACCATCGAGCTCAATGTCTTGTATTTCAGAGCTACTCTCCTCAATTTATTAAAAATGGAAACTCCAGATGAGGGCTTGTCTTTATAGTCCAGTCAGGGCACCACCCAGATACATAGAAATAGCAGAGCATAGATTCCAAACTACATGTTCCCCAAATGAAACACACTTTAAATATCCTCCTAATCCCTTCCAAGCATCTTTCCTCTATCTCTCTTATATTGATTTTTATAACATCTTTGTATAATTTAGTAGAAGAGGAACATCTTTGAAATATCAACTTCTCTTCTTTGATTTTTCAGAGGAAGATAATTTCTTTCCTGAGTGGTCCTAGCTTATTTTTACTATAACCTGTGCATGGTCTGATCAGAAAGGAAGAAAAAAGAACATGCACTACTTCTTTGAAAGAGAAGGTTACAGTCCTGCATTTGCAAAAAGGATGCCCAAGTCCCTTCCACTGTTCAACAATGGAAGAATGAACCTGACATATGGGGGATACAATAAAACCAAAAGCTACAAGAGTGTCTAGCTGGGCTTCTAATGGGTCTCTAATGGCTGTGTCAAGTGGATTTTCTAATGTTCTGTACTGATGTTGAGCTCAGACTACTGCTTTTCTTACCTCCACAGCACTATTCTAATGTCAATCCAAGTGCTGGTAACATAAGTTCAGCAAATGAGTGAAACACGGTGAGTTTGAGTTTCTAACACTGCCAAATCTGCTTGAAACTGCCCAAAAGATTACAAATGTTATCAGGGAGGGGACACCAAAAGTCTCATTACCCTTGTTTCCTTAAGAAAGCAGGTTGAAAGCCCACTTCCCCTTCCTCTCCAAATATTTGACAGGACCAAAAATCATTTTTTGAGGGGATGAAGAAAATATGATATTTGATCCTTCTCGATGGCAGCACAAGAATCTGCCCTCACCACAGTTCTGTTGGATTAACAGTAAAGATGACTTTCAGCTGATAGATTTCACTTCCCAAAGACATTTCAATGAAAAAAAAAACCAACCAACAACCCCCTCACAAGCTCAAAGTGTATGCAAAGGAAACTCAACTACATCTGAACAGCAAGAGCTCGCATTCTAGATAAACAACATATGTGCTATAACTAACAATATTTTTTGTAAAAGAAAGTAAACAGTCTTCAGTTTACAGGTTTAATTAAGAACAGCCAGAGCATTTCATATTCTAATCCAGAAAATCATGGAAATAAATTAAGGACACAAACAGTGCTAGTTTCTCATCTGAATTCCTCTTCCATTGCGTGTACTTGTGTTTTATAATGAAAGATTATTTTTTATATAATTTTACATTCCCTTTCCTGTATGCATTTTCTAAAATAGAGTTATAGCAGCTCGTCATTACCTTAAAACAAACATCTTGTCAATATTCTCACATGATTCCCTAATGCCTACATAAAGCATCATGCAAAAAAAGAGGTAATCTGGGGTCAGACATTGTATCTGCTTTAATGTCAGAGTGTACAATACAACTCAGTTTAAAGATGGAGAACACTGTTTGTAAAAGGTACAAATTTGGGTGACCTCATATTCATACTTTAGTGTCTACAGAACACTTTGCAACCTAGACTGTTATTAAAGAGATATATTAGACACTTTTATTCTACATACCTCTAAAACAACCACTCTTCTTCTCTTGGAAAAATATGTAGAAAACCATTTGGATGTTTACACTCTCATCGTTCATTCCTCTGTAAAGAGGAATTATCACTGGCATCCTTAATCAGCCTATGTAAAATAAGTGAGAAAGCTCAATGTAGAATTGCACCAACTACATGAAATAGCTGAAATTTTGTTAAGAAGATTTTTAAGTGTAGCCTATTCATTTCTAATACACTTTAGTCCCTGGGCTGTGGTACTTCTTTGAGCCCTTGTTTTAGTCCACCTAACTTTTGGTAACCTACTGATGGATCTTGAGCACCTATTGCCTGTAAGCTTCCTTCTGCAAGAAATAAAAACAACCTCAAGGGCTAATTCAGCCTACCCAGGGTAAAAACCCTTTAGGTACTTAAATTCCTTTTGGTTAAAATATAGAAGTTGAAAAACAAAACAATACAGTGAGTGTGTACCTGCACAGCAGAAAGAAAGTTAACTTTGAAGAGCTTAGTTTGCCAAACTTAAGTACTGGAATAAACTCACCGTGTAAATATGATAATGAGTTAATTCTAACATATTCAGTCAAACATCTACAGAAATTTTTGTGTCTTGCTTAATTAGCTACAGTTTCATGTAGTGTCGTCTTTCATTAACTTTGTAATTCCTGGCCATGCATAGGTGGGTGCAGCACTAAATATTATTTGATTAACGCACCGCACTCCTATAATATATGCTAATTCTTATTTGCCAGGAAGTTAATTATAAAGCCTTGATAATCTGTTTTGATAAATTTAGTTCAGTGGGAAATGTGTGTTCCTAGAACAGAGCTATATTAAATTAAGTTTGTTTTGCTTTTGATTTTTTTAAGGCAGTTACCTGCTACCTATTGAGATGAATCATTTGCCTGCAGCACAGGCAAAGCCAGTTTCAGATCCAGCATTGGGTAACCCTTTTGTTGTGGCAACGAAGTCCCATTCACCCCCCTGCCCCAGCCTGGTGAAACAAGGAGGAGAATCACATGTAAAAGTTGTAGGTTCAGAGAACAGCAGCTCAATAACTGAAACAAAGTAAAATATAATAATAATAATAGTGAACAGTAATAACGATAATAAAAAGGAAAAGCAAAACAAAGAAGTGATGCACGACACAAATACTCACCATCCACTGACAAAAGCCAGACCCCTTTTCTGAGCCCTGATGTGACTGCCCCAGTTTATATACTGGCCATATACTGGTTACAGATATGTATATAGTCATATATATTCCTTTGGCTATGCTCCTCACAGCCTTTTTTTCTTGCATCTCCTCACTGGCAGAGCATGAGACACAAACCAGTTCTTGATTTAAGATAAACACAGCTCAGCAACAAACAAAAAATCACTATGTTATCAATTTTATTGTCTGAATGAATCCAAAACACAGCACCGTACAGGCTACTGAGAGGAATTTAACTCTACCCCAGCTGAAACCAGGACATCCTTCTTTTCAGTAAGTTTTCCCACAGTGAAGCCTTCTTGCACATGGAAAAGACTTTAAGATGCATGACCAAGAGGGAAATAAAGGGGAAATCAGTGTGACTCACTTGAAAAATTACTCATAGATTAGTGACAAAGAGCTTCTAAAAAAGTTACAAGTCTATGTGGAGAGACTGTAGCAGCACACTTGGAGATGACATTAAAGTGTCACCATGGAAGACCAGCACTGCCATGTTGCCAGCTGGGGATGTGTCTCAGCATGTTAAATACTGAACTTGTGACAAATCTCTCCAGGAGCAACAACCCCAGTGAGAAAAGGAGAAATCTGGAGTAACTCAGTTTCCCTCGCTTTGACAGGTATCATGTTGTAACCTGCATGAACTGAGTCAATAATCCATGAACTGACAATGGGATCCTGGTAGCAGGAGATACACACATAATTTTGGAATCATTCTCATTGTGAAATTTAAATTTCCACAGTCCTTTCCTGGTTGGTATCTCTGACTTCCTTCCCTGTCTCCAAATCTAATTGTAAGTACATCTAATGTTTGGATGCTGCTATCTATCTTTTATTTTCTTGTCCTTGGGAGTCCCACAAATGTTAAAACCACTCTGAAATTATCATGGCAATACCCTTATTTCTTAAGAAATTAAAAATGAGTTTGAATTCAACTCACAACAACTCACTGTGAGTTGTAAAACTCATCTCAGATACAAAATTAATTTTACATGGGCACACAGAAAATGATTGTCACTAGATAGTGATGTGAAGCCATACCTATATTTAAGCAAAGTTAATCTCTTGTACAAACAAAATGCCTCTTGCTTATTCAGTTTCCTTTAGCTTAATTCCAAAACTTCTAAAGACTTCAAAGAACTACACAGAAGCCAGATAAAGAGCTTATCTGCATAATTCTTATGCTAATTCACAGAAGGTGTCTTGACTAAAGGGATGTCTACGTGCACACCACAGGCTCACTTACTAATTCTTTTCCTCTAAAACCTAAGTTATTATACACACATTTAATCATGATATATCTTACTCTGCTTCAAGGGAGTACGTGGTTCTGGATCCCAGTGTGAGCCTGGTTACTCACAGGCTGACCTGTCACTTTTTTGGGATATCTAGAGGTATTTTTGAGCCAGGCTACTACCACAGTGCATGTGGGCAGAGCATGAAATACAAATGCTCACTTAAAAAACCCTGTCCTGCACACAGCAAGAGATTAGCATGTAAAATACTATTAACTGATGCTCAAAAGAGATGTGTAGTCATCTTAAAAACCAAAATTACTCATTTTCTCACCAAGTTCTCCCTTCCCCAGCCCTGTACTTCCACATCACTAAGCACACTGTAATATCAGTCACTTTATCTTAGGGTAGAAACAACTTAAAGTCCCTACATTACACATCTCTGATAATACAATTTCCACATTATAGTATAACTTTGTAAACCTTTTAGTCCACAGAGTTCAAAGCCAAACTGAAATGATTTACAAAGAGGTAGGGTTTTTCCAGGGAATTTAAATAGTTTTAAATAGTATGGGTTTATCATCTATTTGAAAATATTCATCACTTTAATTCTATTTTTGTTGAGTAAAAAAGCACCAGTTATTAAACAAAATAATTTGAAGCTGTTTGTCTTAAAATTAACAGAGGGTCTAAACATATATTACAGAATTATAGAATCACAGAATGGTTTAGGTTGGGAAGGGTTAATTTTGGTTAGGAAGGAACCTTAAAGATCATCTTATTCCAACCTCCTTGGGCAGGGACACATCCCACTTGACCAGGTTGCTCAATGGTCATCCAAACTTCTGCTAGCGTAAGGAGGGATCAGGAACTGCATATATAAAATTAATATTTGCCAACTACTTAATAAAATAATGATGAGAAAACCCCTTAAATACACAAAGTGGCTCAGTTTTCTCCATGCACTTACCTTTATTATTTCTATTTCTGATGTAGATACTCTTTTGACAGGATGACATATTCAGTCAGAACTGCTTTCAAACAGCCAAAACCAAAAGACAATTGTTCCAAGACTCTATGGAAAGAGAAACTTTCTTGATGAAACACCTCATTTTTACACAAGCCCTGTATACATAACAAATATGAAAGTGTAAAATTACATGATATTAAAAAAATCTGTTTTCAGCCTATATATGTATACATACTTTCCAGGTGTCTGTAAAATGACAAAATTAAGAAATATTATCCACTTCTTGTAGACTGTCATCATGGTGACTGTATAATAGAACTGCCAGCTGATGTAGCTGATACAGCCACAGGTAGCTCTGCTGCTCTTACCTGGATAACACACACACCATTCCCAACCCGACCCAAAAAACGGTATGACAATTTTACATACTTTTAAACAAATTGCAGTTGCAGCCTATAAAAATTACTTTTTTCCTAAAAGTTTTTCTACCCCATGCTTTTTCCTGTGTTTTTGGTTTTAACTCTACACCATGAGCTGGTTTGCTAATCATGAGTGTGCAAATACATTCTCATCAGCAGATAACAATGTTTGCAATAGCAGTTCAGCCAGAAGACCACTGTTGCCCTCAAAGCAATTCCCTAAGACTATCTTCACAGACTTTTTATATGAAAATGAATTAATTAGGTTTATTTACTTAATGAAATGGTACAGTACTGATTCACTTCCAAAACCTAAGGAGGCTTTTCATTTTAAAAAAGAGAAGGGAAACAATACAAAGAAACATAATTCTCTTAGAAGTACAAAAAAAAAAAATCCTGAAAGGTCACTGCTTTCCATTTAATGGTAATTCATCCTGGAATGACACTGATTTATATGGATAGTAAATAACTCATTATGAAAGTAGCACTAGGCCAGCCACTAAACTATCATTCATCAGGAACTGTAGGGATAGGACAAGGGGGAGTGGCTTCACACCGAGAGAGAGTAGGTTTAGATTAGATGTTAGCAGGAAACTCTTTCCTTTGAGGGTGGTGGGCCCTGGCAGAGGTTTCCCAGAGAAGCTGTGGTTGCCCCATCCCTGGAAGTGTCCAAGGCCAGGTTGGATGGGGCTTGCAGCAACCTGGGATAGTGGAAGGTGTCCCTGCCCATGGCAGGGGCTGGAACAGGATGATATTTAAGGTCCTTTCCAACCAATCCATTCTGTGATTCTGCACTACCATTTTCCTTCTTGTGGAAATGGGAGTAACTGCAACAGCAGCAGCCCAAGTAGAGGACCTGAAGGCAGTAGTCCTTTTTGATAGAAAACGTTCCACTTTTACTTCAAACTTGATCCAAAGTGGGAGCCATTGAAGGGATGTAATTCTATAGTTTCCTAATGCGATAAGATGTGGAATTGAAATCATTCCCATTCCAATCTGCAACACTGCTCAGTACTGACTCTGGCAATAACAGGTTCTTAAAATATTTGCCAGTTCTGTCCAAGGGATCTTTCAGAATAGAACACGAAGGCACATTAGGCAATCAGTCCAGTGACAGACTGTGCTGTATCAGGGCATAGATAGTGTCATTCATTGCTAAATTACACTTTTTAATTGGGAGCCTTTTTTTAGATTTTTGACGCAAGTAATTGACTGCAACTGATGAGTTTTGTCTAAAAGTTTATCCTTTAACACTAACACTGCATTTCCTAATCATATACAAAGTGGGGTGGAGTCCTGATGCTGCTCTTTTCAAAGTCAATGGAAGTTTTAGTAGGGTTCTCAATAGCATTCTAGTCTTAGTTTTCTCTTTGCCACTACACAATGAATATAGAAACAATGACTCGAGTTGCAGATGCAGCAAAGATTCCAACACACCACTCAATGTAAGTAGTAATTTAACTACACTTTAGTGATGACCTCCAAAAAGTTAATTACAAATCTAGTACACAAATGATGACCACTCACTACACTTTACCTTTCCATTGTAAGGATAAAGAATGAAAGAACATATTTAGAACTGCCCAATATCCTTTTACTTTAAGCAACTCAATATAACATATAGACCCAGAGTGATTTTGCAAAAAAGAACATTTTAGTAGATTCTGGTATAGAACCAATTTAAGTAGGAATTAGTAACAGAGGTGATAAGACCTATCGAGCAATGAGCTGAGTGATGTCACCCTTATCCTCAAATAAAAATTCTTTTCTTGACCATAAAGTTACAAAAATACGCCAAATAATCCCTGCTCCTCAGTTCTTAACATGCATTAAGAAAGTCTGTGTTGTTTTTGCCACGTTTCAGGCATCACTAACATTACTTTTATATATATTTTTACAATATGCCACTTGAATCTACAGGATGACTTGTCAGATGAATGAAACAGCTCTGCTTCCGAGTTGAAGGAGTTGTCTTTGAAGGAGCTCTGGAGGATAAAGGCTTTTATAGTGTTACAATATTAGACACAAACCCCCATTTAGTTATGCTGGACTTACACTGCTCTAATTTCATTGACTTCAGGGCTGCTAATGAGCTCCGGCTCCTGTCACAAAGGGGAAAAATAAACACATGCTAAACACAGAGAGACTCTTTTCTGCAGCTGTATTTCCTTACAGGGGATTATGG